GGGGGGGGGGGAAGGAACGGATATTACTATAGATAGAAAGGGAACGATTGAAGAAGTGCCACGAAAAGACTGTAGCAAAAAAAAGCAATTCTTGAAACTTCGTTCTGAAAAGCTTCTGATAAAGTTTCAGGAATTCTGAAGGTGTTCTTGTTGAAGATGAACTTTAATCGACATCAAAAATTGCACAGTTTATCGTTGCCGACGCCGCTGATGCCATCATTGCTGGTGACAATGCTAATAGAATTTTTTTCCTTTAGCTCAGTTTTTTTTTGCCTTTCCAATCTCGAACCATGAAAAAAAATCTAAAACTGCGATTTGAAATGTTTTTAAAGCAGTTACTTTTTTTTTTACTTTGAAATGCATCAAATTTTTTTTCTCGACAAATTTAATTTTAACTTTCTCTCAACAATCCACAATGACAACATTTACAATATACGTATTTTTTTGAGAAAATATTCATAAAAGCGAAAATAGAAAAAAAGAAAATATGCTTCTATTACTTTCGTATAACAACAGCTTACAGCAGTGAATCATTTTTAACTGAAGTAAAAAATTCTAAGCAATAGAACACAATCATTGTCCATAATTGAACAGATGTGCTGCTGCACTTCGTTATGGAAAACAGCCGAAAACAATAGTGATATTTTTGCTTCATTTTCAATCTGTAAAACTGCTGTTTGATAAATAGAGATGAATAAATAAAATATGAGCAAAGTTTTCTTGTACTTATTCAAAAAATTATTCAATCAAACCATTGTATCATGTTTGTGATTAATAAGACGATGAAAAAGGAGAAGAGAATAGAAGAAAGAAAAAGAAGGGAAAACGAAAGAGAAAGAGAGAAAAAGAAAGAGAGGAAGAATAAAAAAGCAAAGGAACTTAGAGGAAAAGAAAGGAAGAAAGAGGGGAAGAAAAAAGAAATAAAAAGTAAGAAGCAACAGAAGTAACAAAAAATGTTATTTATAGAAATAACAATAATTTATGTGCAGTTCAAATGCCCATCATTTTTTGATACCAATTTTGACCATCACCAGTCATCGTTACCGTTACCGTTGCCGCAACTTCCACCATCATCATCACCATTATCATCTTTACAGGTTACTAATATATTACAGTTGTTCAGTTACAATTTTACGACGGGGTTATAACGTAGTGCCGAAAGTAGAGGACAGAAAAGAAGCGAGAGGAAAAGAAAGAAGTAAACCATTACACATATCTAACCGAACAAACCTACAGGTCTACAAGGTTTTCTGCCAGTCTATTGACAGTTATTATTCTCTAACTGGCAGCCGTAGAGGCTGAAAGGTGAAAAAAAAAAGTTGTAATTGAGTTATCCATTAAATTGGACAAGTTAATTCGGATTTAAATGATCGAAAAAACGGATGTATAAATGGATTAAACAGAGATGAATGCTTGTTAAGATGAAGCTATGACTATGAGGGGTGAGGGGAGGAGGTACATTTGTGTTTATGTTCTGTGTGTG